CAAGTTAGTTACGTGTAAGAAAAATGCTTTTTACTGGTGCACAGTGTGGTCATCTGGACGCAGTGGAGGAAAATAAAGGAACCAGCAAAGGCACAAAGGCAGAACCGGTCCAAAGTTTGGGATAAAAAATGCAGCTACACACAGATTGGCTAATGCTAAAGCTAACAGGTAGCAGTCTCACGATCAAGTGGTGCACAGACAAATATATGATGATCATAAAACTAAGAACGACTTACTCTACAAGTGGATGAAAAGTCCCCTCCATCCATCCTGTTTATTGTGCATCCTGCAGCGCTATGGATCAGAACCGCTGCAGATACGAGTCACATTACTGCTACAAGTCTGTTCCACACACAGGAGCAGGAAGTACGGCAATCCATTGTAGTATATAATTCACAAACGCATCTATCTTTAACATAATTTAAACTGGATTATTGCCAACCTATTCATAATAGACATGCCACCATTACATTGTTGGCAGCAGAAATTAAATGTTATTACCATTTCCAATACAAATTCATGTTAATGAAATGCATTATATTTTACTGGATATATTTATGTGTTATTTCAATTAAGATGATTGTCATTAATACTAGGGCTGGGGGTAAACGATTATTTTTAAAACGATTATTCTGACGATTATTTTATCGAATAGTCGACTATTCTAATGACTATTTAGAAAATTAATCTAATGATTATTTTTCTCTTGCACAATTAACAAAAACCAGAAAATCTCAAATAAATTCCTCAAAAAAATTGATAAATTCTTACTGTAAGAGAATAAACACTACAGGCCTTCCATTTTGTATAACACTGCGTTTATTGTGTTGGTTGGTTATGTTCTGATGACGTGTAGAACTTGGGAGTGCAGGCTGCTGCCTGAGAGGTGGTAGAAGATGGAGTGTCTCCTTGCTGCTTTGTTTTGGTCACTTATGTGCGTGAGGCGAGTGGTCTTACGGGTTAAACCAAACTCAAGTGGTATTTTACACTAAACCGAAAACCCACAACACTCTAAATGTAATAAAAGGGAGATCTACACCACAAAAAAGATGAACTCTAAACCAAAACGTAACAGCTTATCCCAACGCAAGAAGCTGTTAGCGAGGATGCTAACAGTAGCTTTACCAACATTAAGTTCAAGTTACCAAGTTTAAATAAACCAAAAACACCCAGCAGCAAACAGACCAGCACGGAGGAGAGACTGCTACCACCAAAACAGCTCTCCTCATGTCTGAAAGAAGCTCCTTTATTAAGGGAGAAGCGCTCCCGGTGATTTTCTACATCTGCGATAGACACGAAGCAGCGCATCTGACCCCGGAAGTTGTTGTCCGTTGCCAGGAGACGAAGGGGCAAAACAGGAAAATAATCTAGTAGTGGACGGACGTTGTTCCGGGTCTTCGGTATTTGGCGGAGATGTTAGTGAAGGCGGAGAAGAGGGCGAACTAGAGGAAGAACAGGCAGATTCCTCCTCTATTTACAAACTCCTGGGGATGCAACAAGTGGGCGCCGTGCGTCGACTTCCGGATCTGACGTCGACAAATTTTTAGAATCGAGCCGTCGACTTCGTCGAGGCTTCGCTACAGCCCTAATTAATACAAACCTAAAGTTACTGAATTGTAGGTCAAATATTTAAAAATATTTTTAACTATAAATATCAGATGGGAAAAAGGGAGCTAAACACCAATTTGATGCATATTTTTGAGCCTTTGATAACAAGAGTCTGTTATTTCAGCCTGATCATTTTGTTGTTTTATTTCATATTTTTTAGCAGCAAACCAGTTTTGTTTCACTTGAAACGTTGTCAAATGGAATATTCAATTAATCAACAGAAGAATAGATTAGAACACTTAACGAAAAAATATTTTGCCTCTAAAAAAGTGAGGCAGTTGAATGCACAGAGAATGCATGTGCTGGTGCATGGTCAGGATGGTACCACCTCTGCCTCAATTTGAGCCAGGAAAAACCCTGGTTCTGTTTACCTCTACTGCGAGGATGAGCAGGTAATGACATCTTTTTTTTTTTAGTCAAGCAACTGGAAATTGGCATGTGACTTTTATTTAGCAGAATTCTGGACGATTTACACTACTTTTGTGTTTGACTTCCTTTTTGGCCCTATCTGAATTGCAAAGTTTGATGTGTTCTGGAAGCGCAACACAAAAATAGACTCTAAGCATAAATTTAGTGGAGCAACACATACACTTCGTGGGCGTGTCCAAAACACACTGCTTTGCGGCCAGTGGAAATGCACCCATTTGCTATAATGGTGGCTGGTTGCTACGCTTGGTGGAGGTTACCTGATGCTTATGCGTGAGGTGGAAAGGCCTAGTTATATAGTATATAAAATCAACTTGATGCTGTTAGGACACCACAGACATAGCCCATTTACTGGAAAAACTACCTTTTATGTACCTCCGCTGGCATGCAGTGCTGGAAGGAGCACCATACAGCAAAATAAATAAATAAATAAAACTGCTGTCATCAGAAAATGTAGTTGGCACAGAAGCATGTACATGACCTGTTACAGTAATTAGCTTGTAAGCATCAGCCTGGCATTGATGTGTTTTGTGTGTCTTTGCACACACCATACTCTGAGTTTATACTTCCTAGACACCATACTTAAACAGAGTCCTTAGAAGTGTATGGCATTTTTTGAAAATGCTTAAATTTAAAAAAATATATCTGTGTGAAACTAGTACTACTACTAATAAAAATAATAACTAGAAAATTCCTGAAGAAATGTTAAAATGGACCTGCCCACTAGCACAAGATAGTGGTCACGTGCTATATAAGCCAAATGATATTTGGGTGATGTTGGGGCGATGACCCAAAAATTGTAAAATTGGGGTGATGTTGGGTTGATCACCCCAAAATCATTTTATACCACACTTTCTAAGGCTGAGTTGGTCGTTTTGATGTATCATCTGTGCAGGTGCACGCTCCAGATCAAGAAAATATTTCCCCCACAGAGCAAATTTTTGCGCGCAGGCATCCCTGCACGGAACATTTTGCTTTTCCTAGGTGTCATATTTGATTGTGCAATATCATTTGAATGACACTGTAATCAACTCATTAAAAAACTGCTTCTTTCACCTCCAGAACATCTCGAAGGTTAAACCTTTAATTTACAAGAACAACCTGGAAATGGTCATTCATGCTTTTGTTTCATCACAACTGGACTACTGTAACAGTCTTTTAGCTGGTCTAAATCTCAAGCAACAAAAACACTCACAACTAGTGCAAAAAAACTGCTGCACGACTATCGTCTGGAGTTTACGGCAGCGTATTACCGTCGGTGTGGAGAAAACAATAAATGATCATTTAAAAGTGAAATAAATGTTGTTTTAACGATAAACATTCCCAAGAAAGATGATAAAATAGTTTTTTACATCGCAAGCCCTGGTTTACGATTTTAATTAATCTAGGCCTTTATGAACCATTAAAGCATTTAGAAATATTTTCATATGTATTCTGATGTTTTTGATGTTTTATTATATTGCCTAATAAAATCTCATATTCAGACAAATTCTATTGGTTTATTTTCTAAGCAGAGCAGCTGTCTCATCCTCAAAAAATCATTGATGGTTCCTTTTTTTTATTTCCACATATTATTGTCACAATAAATAAATATGAATGTACAGGTCATTTTCCTACGTGATTCAAAAGTGTATGCCTGTTTGGTAAATGTGGCCCAAATGTTTTTGCAAATGTTGGTCACTGACTAGCAGCTGATTTGTCACTATAAGTCACATGACCAGTGCTGAACATCATCAGCAACATGGAGAGAAACAAATATGAGCTGGAGGAGCTAATTTGGAAGGAAAAGGCCCATCTCACCATTAAAACATTGTCAGGGAAGTCTGAAGTTTTACAGTTTTCTGGGAGTTGCCAGTGATGGAGTGGAAACACTTTACACGTAGTGATTTTTATTTTTTTTGTATTTTTGTTTGGTTTGTTTAGAATCATTACACCTTAAAACACATCTGCTGGGACTGTGAGGGAGTGGGAATGATGCTATTGGGATGGGTGGGAATAGCATTTTTTTCTTGCTTTCTGGGATTGGGACAAGAGCATTTATTTTTTACGATGGGAGTGGTTTGGGAAAGCAAAGAAAATCCATTCCCGTGTCATCCTCTTGTGAACACACACTTCCCAAATGTTGATGCAACGTTTGTGGGGGTGCATGCTGCCGTTCGAGCAGCAACTGCTATTGGACCTATAAAGGGTTAATGAACAAATGCGTAATGAACACACGCAAAATGAAAATTGTTTAGATTTTTTTTGCTAATTATTTTCTCCATGCACAATCGCACACCTCCCATGGCCAAGTCTTGTTTTGATGTAAAATTTGGGGGTGCACGCTGCCGTTCGAGCTGCATTAACATCCAAACAACTCTGGCAGACACCAGTAGATATGAACACATAACCCCAGTGTGGCCTCTCTGCACTGGATTCCTGTTTATTTTAGGATTCATTTTAAAACCTTACTTTTTGTTTTTGAGTCCTTGCTCAGTTATGGCTCCCTCCTACATCTCCAAGCTGCTGACTCCCTACGCTCCAACCAGAACCATGCGTTCTAGTTCCCAGGCCCTGTTAACCGTAAGACCCGTGCTGACATGGCCTTCTCTGTAGTCGGGCCATAGTTATGGAGTAGCCTGTCCTTGCATATAAGGACTTCTCATAGTCTCATAGTCATATCTTTATTGAAGACACATCTTTTTAATCTGGCTTTCAGTGCCATTTGACTCTGGCATTTGAGTATTTTTTAGATGGGTTTTAACTTATTTGTTCCTACAATTTTTCTGTGTGTCTTGTTTTTATTTTACATTTTTAGTCCTTTACTCATTTTATTGTTTGTGTTTTATTGTACATTACTTTGGGGGCAGTGTGAACTGTTAAAAAACTGCTATACAAATAAAATTTGACCTTGTATGTAGTCTTGTTATCCTTTCATATTTTGTCTAATTCATGGTTATTTTATGTTGTTTTTTCCTTTGAAACAGACAATAGACTGTAACACAGTGTGCCTGTCAGAGCTGGAGTTTACAACTGATTTTTGCTTGAAGATACTAAACACTGCAGACTGTACGGTAAGAAGCACAATCACATCTTTTTTATTTTATTTTTTTTATGATGCTGATGTATCACCTGCACAAAAATAAAATTGACAGAAGACATGCAGCTCCTATGTACACATGGCTTTTATCTTCCAAACGGAAGGTTTTTTTTTTTGTATTTAAATTGTAATAAATCCAAGTGTCAAATGATTGGGACAGAAAAAATAACCAGAACCAATTTTGTTCATCCACTATTGACATCTGTCATTTTTCAGGGATGCTGTGTGAAAGGAACATGGCAGTACAAACAGACGAGTCATCAGTCAGCACACACTGATTTATTGTGTTTTTGTTGAAGAGGATGTCTGTCATTTAGATATTTCGTAGTTTCAATTTCAATCAGAGATATGAGGCAAAAGTGACTTGGAAGATCTGTCATACAACATAGTAACTGTTCACAGCCTGTTTTCTCTGTCATTATCTCTAATGCCAGCACAGATTTACTAAACAACTCACATTTAGTCCCTGAACACTGAAGATAGTTGTCATCGATAGTGTGTCATCAAATGGCCACTCAATCAGAATTTTTTAATTAATATTTATGTTACTATTGGTGTTCTAGAATATTGTAATAAAGAACTTCCTACAATCAAATAATAAACATCTCTTGCAAACCGAAGGCACTTTAATGCAGATGACCATGTGGTACCACATCATCACATGTGTGGATCAAGAGTTTCATCTTAACTAGTTGCAGAATAATGTGTTTATTGCGTGCACGTCCAGGTTAGTTACTGTGATATAAAATCTTTAAACAACTCAATTATAGTCATTTGCCAGGCAGCCCTTGACTTCTTCCCCAGTGATCAGAAAAGTGTTGCAATCCATAATAATACATCATAATCTAATTGTTTTATTGCATCATTACATCTACAGGAACTCACGTAAAGTAGTAATTACATGTAATTATATAATTAGTTAAATATTAATGCTAAATGGTTGAGTCTTGTTCTTTGTCACACACACACACACACACACACACACACACACACACACACACACACACACACACACACACACACACACACACACACACACACACCAGTGATGAAAAAGCTAATACATCATTATCGCATTAACACATTAGTTACATTGACACCAAAAAATATTTTATGGCACGTTAACACATTTGAATTAATAGTCATTTTTTTAAGTCTGCTGCTCTTTGGCTCTGAACACAGTTTCTAAACTTGCTAACATGAATTCTGCGTGCGCACACTTAACGCAGTGCCTGTCGCAGTGATATGAGGGAGGTGAAAATATGTGAAATAAAAATTCTGATGTGTGAGTGAGCGAAACAGCATTTACAGGTACAGAAGCATCTGCATTAGTGACTGTACACCAAACTGTGCATGCAGCTATGGGTTATAGTTGTACAGCGGTTACGAATGAACACTTTCTCTTCTTGTCCTCTCCTCCACCCACCCCCCGAAGAACCCTGCTTCAGTGATTTATTGGCCACTTTATTGGGTACTCCTTGCTAGTACCAGGTTGGACCCCCTTTTGTCTTCAGAACTGCCATAATCCTTCGTGGCATAGATTCAACTAGGTACTGGAAACATTCTTCAGAGACCTTTGTCCATATTGACAAGATAGCATCACGCAGTTGCTGCAGATTTGTCAGCTGCACATCCATGATGCAAATCTGCCATTCCACCGCGTCCCAAAGGTGTTCTAGACCTCGTGAGTTTTGAGGCCATTTGAGTACAGTGAACTCATTGTCATGTTTAAGAAACCAGTCTGAGATAATTCTAGGTTTTTGACATGGTGCATTATCCTGCTGTAAGTAGCCATCAGAACATGGGTACGCTGTTGTCATAAAGGGATGGACATGACCAGCAACAATACACAGGCAGGCTGTGATGTTGTAACGATAATCAGTTAGTACTGTAATGATTCGTTTGTCACATCTTGTGTAAGAAACCATCAAAGGGGAGATTCCATAGAAAATTTGAAATCAATTTGGTGTATCTTTGGTGTATAATTTAAAATAAGGCTAACTGTAACTCTAAACACTCTGTGTGATGAATGGATCTAGGTGTGAATGAGGCAAGATGGATGGTGTAAGGAATGTTGTTATCAGAACTCTCGTTTTCGGAGAAGCATTAGTTCTGTGTGGGAGCGAATGATTGGCTCCAAACTACAGTTGGAGTTTCAAAACCACATGCAGATGCTATCTTGCTGCTCAACATACCCTTGACGGAGACCTCCATCGTAGATCCAGAATGCCAGGTCCTCGGACCCCCCTTTGGTACCGGAGCCGATGAAACAGCGTACGGTACGATAGACTAGTCTTGGGATTGCCTCCAGGTAAGAAACAGGTGTTTTTCAGTGTCAGCGGGACCCTGAAGGGTCAGTGAGTTCAGCTTTTACTCTGAAGGAGCGTTGCGTCAGGTGGAGCTTGCAACAGGTTTTGTTATCCAGCTTATCAAGGTTCCTTGTGGTTAAAAAGTTACGAGTGGCCGGCTCGAAACTCTAGAACGTTTGAACTGAGTTAAGGGTGACGTGGGAATTAGTTTTATAATTCAGATGTTTTGATTTATGGTCGAATCAGGATTTGACAACAAAATAAACACAGCACAGACCACGCAACGCGTCAGAAAGGAAAGCTCTGATTGGAGAGACAAAAGGAATGTGTCATGTGATTTTAACATTACGTGTGATAGGAGTGTCCAATGCTTCTGTACCAAGTTAATTCTTATTATATCGTATATATTATTAGCATCGTTTTAACCTCTTTCACTGATGCTTTATACATTTTTCTGTTTAATTAGGGAGTGTTGCTCTGTTCTGTGGGAGGGATTCAACCCTCTTACCCCCAAATTCCACTACCTCCGCTCCTCTCTGACACGAATGCCGGAGCAAAACCGGTCCCGTTGTAGTCAATCAGAGCTATTCCACTACTGCGGCCGTGCTCCGGCAGTGCGGCGCCGTGCGCTGCCCTCTGTTCCGGCGTCTGGCAAAAATAGAATCGATCCTATTTTTACCAGACGCCGGAGCACCTCTGCAGTCAATGGACAGAAATCACAACCGCCCAACAGGAAAAGGAGCAAGCACAACTTCCATTTTTCACAATAAATCGATAAACAAAAGGCGTTTTTTGTTTCATATGCACAGGTTTAACAACTTTTAACAACTATCAATGGCGGCTGAAGTTTAAATGCACAAAAGTAAGCCATGAATACAGTTTCTACTATCAAAGTAGTCTCACTTTGTTGATCCAAACACTGCTGATCTCTCAACACAAATGATGGGCAGATTAAACAGTTCATGCCGATGCTTCTCCCACACAACGGGTGTTTGGATCTAACTTCCGTGTTTATTGCTCGGACTGTATCGCAAGATCTCGAAAATCCCGCGCATGCTTGTTTGCCCACCTCAGGTCTCCGCACCGGAGCGGAGCCGTTGTAGAGCCGGTACCAGTAAAAATTGAGTTCGGAAGCGAGCGGCTGCGGAAGGCGGGGGCGGAGCGGAGGTAGTGGAATTTGGGGGTTAGAGACAAATCAGACTTTTTATATGCACAGAAAGATGTGTTACCCAATAACAAAAATGCATGTAGCCATACGTAGGAATACTCTGAGTAAATAAATGTCTTATTTGTAGTGAATCCTCATCATTGTTTTTTCTATTAAATAATTTGTATCAATAAATGAATGTTGATCATTTTAGTTGTAAATTGTATGTCAGCTCTGACAAGTCAATACACTTCTGTCCTTGTCGAGGGTCAGCTAAGCTTGGAGATTGAAGGTCTGTAGGTCCCTTTGATAGGATTTGGGGAGCCTGTTTCCTCTCACCTCCCATAAACACCGCTCACTTCTGTCTGCAATACAAACAGTAATTGTATGACTACAGAGTGGCTTTACTTTTGTAGTCCCTGATGCTGTGTGGAACGATCCGTCGGTGACAAAGCTCATAGGGTTGAAGCAGCTTTGTGTCATGGTGTGTAGAGTTTGCACTGCACTGTTGGGTGTACTGGTTTAATGGATAATCAATAGGTAGTTATTATCTGGCCTGTGCTCTCTGAGGCTGGTGGAAATAATGGGATTCGTAAACATCCTCTCATTTTTCCTGTCATCCCTGTTCTGTAATTTAAAACATCCCATTTCTATTTCTAGGATGTAAGTCCAGACATGTGTGGAGCAAAAGAAGTGGTAGGATAATATGAGACATAGTTCTAGTTAAAACTATTTTTTTCTGTGTTATTCCTGAAAGTTTACTGTTATAAAAATGTGTGAGGGTTAGAAAAGCACTCCGCTAAAAGATTTTTTTTTTTTGCCCTTCGAATGATTTATAATTTTGGTATGCTGATACAATTGTTTCATCTAGGTATTCCTGACATTTTTATAGTAGATGTTCTGTGTACGTGTAGTCATTTGTGTAATGTAGGTACTTGCCTCCAGCATCCCGTCTGCTCATCTTGGTTTTTGCAGACGCAGGCCACATTTGTATCATAAAGATACTGATCTGCAGTCAGTGTGGGCTGTAGCTTCTCAGTAGTAGTGAGGGGTATAGTGTGTGAAGGGTATACTGCTTCTGGACCAGTGCTTAGGGATTGGTAAGGGGTAGCTGTTGCCTCTCTTGTCCTGTGATTGAACGCCTGCTTTTGTTCTCTTTTCGACAGTCCATTCATCTGCTCAGCCTGCCTAACCTTGCATTAAATGAACAGCACTACCCCTGCGTCTGCGTCGTTCCTGCAGAAGACAAATTTTTTTGCTCATACTTTTTTATATTTCCTCTTTTTCCTTTTCCTATCACTTCCATCTGACATGCTCATTGCCTTGTTTACACGGTCTGCTACACTCATGGAATTAGAACATACAGATATCCTTAAAGTTTCATTAAGACGTCCTTTTGCTGGGCTTCTTTATCCTTGTTTTGCCTCCTTTTTTCCCTTACAGCAATGCCATCATCATGATCACTCACCTGAACTGTAGAATTGGTAGCAAAATCCTAAATCCTGGCAGTGATGTATG